CAGCAGATTTCTTACAAAAATGTTTAGTTTCAGCCATGGGTGCAAAAGATTCTCATTAAGCCAGACCTGAATGTTTGCATTTAGTGGTTTTGGCTCCTTCCAGGGGAAAAGCAGAGTTGAAGGTTGTATTTTGCAATGTGACTGTTTTACAGGGAGCCGCACAGGCCCCGCAAGTCCATTGCCCCCTGTCTCCTTAGGCTGGAGGGCCCTCCGTGGAGTGCCCTAGGACCTGCCACTCCCGGCCAGCCAGTCTCTTTATGCCTTTCCTCCCGCTGGCCCCCTTCCCCTTTCTGCACAACCTCCATATGCCTTAGAGCCTCTCTACAATTCAACTACATTTTTTTTTTTTGTGGTGTTAATCCAGAGAAAGTCATTTAAGGCAGTTGCAACTTGCTCCAGCTCCTGGTTCAGTGCTAACTTAAGGCTCTCTCATACCCTTCCCAGGGCTCGTTTGAATCATTTTTTTCATAATGCTTCGAGGCCTTTTGTCCTTCAGGGATGGAAGGTTTTTAATCAGGCAAATTGTGCTGTTAGAAATGAAGCTGTCTTAGAAGCTAGTCCTTGGGGATGGTTTTTTGTGCAGAGAGGCTTAACCAAGATTTCTGTAGAGCTTTCTGGGTAGAAGGGCTGCAGAGCAGGGCGTTTGACGGATATGCCCAAGGTTGCACCGGGAGTCAGCAGCAGAGAGGGGAGTAGCTCTGCGTGTTCAGCCCTCCGGATCGTACTGTGAGATCAGGCAAGTCGGTGGGTTTGCCTTAGCAAGGGCTGGAGTTTTAGTTGTTTTTTTAGCTTTGAGTGTATTTTTGGTGACTCTCGTGATCTCCTGGAGTTCCAGCTCTTTGCTTTAACCTTCACTGTCTGCTTAGGTTGTAAATCCCTTGCTTTCGCACAGTGCATGTTCGGTGTAGTTGGCACCTGACCTCATCTGGGAGTTCCTGCAGTAGCTGAGGAAGGAGGGACAGGTGGGCATAGCCTGAGAACAGCAGAATGGCCCTTGCTGTGTGGGTGGCTGCACTCCCTGCTTGCTGATTTATTTCTCATCCTTTCTTAGATTACCTGAACCCAGTGGAAGAGAACCCCTTCGTCTCCCGACGGAAGAATGGGGATCTCCAGGCTGTGGACAACCCCGAGTACCACAACGCTCCGAACGGGCAGCCCAAAGCGGAGGATGAGTACGTGAACGAGCCGTTGTACCTCAACACTTTTGCAAACACCCTGGAAAACGCCGAGTACCTGAAGAACAATTTGCCAGAGAAAGCCAAGAAGGCCTTTGACAACCCCGATTACTGGAATCACAGCCTTCCCCCGCGCAGCACCCTCCAGCACCCGGACTACCTGCAAGAGTACAGCACAAAATACTTTTACAAACAGAACGGGCGCATCCGGCCCGTGGTGGCAGAGAATCCCGAATACCTCTCCGAGTTCTCCCTGAAGCCTGGCACTGTGCTGCCCCCGCCGCCCTACAGACACCGGAACACCGTGGTGTAGGAATGCGCCGCAGGGAGCGGGGCGGCCACCCCTGCCAGCCGCCTCGCTCCTTCTCTCTCTCTCCCCTTCCCTTTCCTTCCCTCACGAGCTTCCTCCTCTTGCCCCCTCGCTCATTTTTGATATTTCCAAGTGAAAGGATGTCTTGGAGTCACTGGCAGATTGGGTTTGGGAACCTGGAAGGAAGGAAGGAAAGAGACTGAAAGAAGGAGAGTACAACCTGGCCTTCCTCCCTTGCCGCAGATCCGGAGGGTCCGAGAAGCCAGACGATACCAGTGAAGCCAGCGAAGACAGTGTTGCCTCCTGTCGAGCGAGTGCTCCGTGATCCAACCCCGACGCTGTCGGGGGGAGTCACACAGAGTCTGTTTCTTTCGGCAGGAACAGACGAGAGTCTGTTCAGCATTCCTGGAAATCTTGATGCAGTTTCCATTGGGGGGAAAAAAAATGGACAATTTTTATATCACGTGGATAACATAATAATTGAGATTGAGAATCCAATTCCTTTCTCTAACACTTTCTACCCCAACAACTGAAAATGGCTAACCTGGCTTTTCATAATCATTCAGATCTTCATGGTGGCCTTCCAAGAAATTATGATGTGACTCTAATATCTGGCTAACCCCTTACTCTGAGCCACACCATGATTTTGTGCCACTTCCTAACAACAGAGACTTTAGCTCAAAACATTGGTGCATGACATGACCATTTTTGTACACGTGTCAATACGACGAATACTTTGAACATACAAGTCCGTTCAGAGAAAGTTAACAAAAACACATCTCCAACATGCTCTTTTTGAAGCTACAAGGCCAAGAAACCAGAATTTGTATGCAAAAAGCTTTGCTTTCATGTTTTATACCTACTGAATATAGATATACAAAAAGACCCAAACAGATTCTTCCCTCTTTTTCTTCTTTGTGCTCATGAAAGGAGTTGGGGATGCTGCCAGGCAACACTGAGGACGAGATGGAGACTGGAGAGCTCACTGTGGTTCTCGGAGCTTGCTGGTGTTCTGTGGGGTGGTGGTGGGAAGGGTCCTGTAAACTGGAAGACAGACACTGGACTGGAGAAAACGCACATAGTGGTTCACTGGAAAGTTAGTTTGCACTTAAGCTCTGATTTTATTTGAACTGTTTTCTGGATTTTGAATGAAGCAATATGGAAGTGACCAGCAAAATACAAAATAATACTTTTAAATTTTAAAAAGTGAATTATATGTAAAGGATGACTGTGGAAATGCCAAAATGAAGCAAATCAAGTCTTTGGATCAGTGTCCAGCAGTTCTGAGAGGCCAGTGCATTGACTGCGTGAGAGGATACAGCAAGAGCAACCTGCTCCTCCTGCTGCAGCGCCGAGGCCGGCGGAGCGAGCCCCGAGAGGGATCCGAGGAGGAGAACGTCTGGCTCGGCCTTGCAGCGTGACACGGAATGCTTCCTTCCTCTACAAGGAGGATTGCTCCCGCACAGAGGATGGTGCCCCTGAGGGTTTGGAAGTCAACACGCGCATGACTCGCAGAGCTGTCAGTCAGCAATGTAAATACGTATGAGTCAGTCTCCTTGCACTTCGTTCTGCTTTCATCAACCTCGGTTTTTGCGTAGACACCCTTCCCTCACCCTCCTCCTCTTTGCCAGTAGCTTCTTGCCAGAGCTGTGGATGATTTGAGCAACCCAAGGTGTTGGGAGGGAAGGAGCGAGGGGCAGCGACGCTGCTGTCCTGCTCCTGCTGTGCCAGGAGCTGTGTGGGTAGGAGTGCTTGCACGCCTGATGTCTGCAGAAAATCTGAGGCATGAAGAACCTCCGAGGGTTTCCAGCCATCCAGGCTTTCAGAGGGTGCTGGGTGGCAGTGCTGGGCGATGCAGCGGTGTTTCAGTTTATGCACTTTAGTCCTATTCAAGCAAAGACCTGGCGGGAGAAGCAGCAGAAGCAGCCAGCGCTCTGGAAATACTGTGGGCATTCCTGGAGCGCCTGCATCCCAGAGAGGCCCAGGGAGGAGGAAGCAGCGGCTCCTCCTCCTCAGCCTGCCATATGGAGCTGGTTTTTGGCATCGGCACTGTGCCGAATTGGGAAGCCACTGGTGGCATCCCCTCCCCATCCCTCTTGCTTCTAGTGCCGCGCAGCAGCGCCTGCAGTGCTCAGTGCTTGAGGGCCAGCTGGGAAACACCAGCTTTCCAGCCTTGGTGTCCATCGCGGGAAGCTTTGGGAGCAGCAGGACTCGGAGTGAGGGTCTACTGGGGCAGGACACACAGGTCGGTTTGTCCTGGGCAGGTCCTCCCAATGGGGAGGGAAAGGCACACGTTAAGTTCAACGTGTTGGTGGCAAAGGCCATTGGGACAGGGAATGCACAAAAGTCCAAGCGCTGGTACCAGGAGGTGGCTGCTGAGGGAGGGTGGAGGCCCCTGTGTCTCCTCTGGTCATTAAAAACCATCCCCTTGAGTAATCAGAATAGAAATATTTGTGTTCCTTAACAATTTAACTTTCTAATTCTTGAAGTATTTATTCACTTTCATTGTTGACTATGGGTATGACGTGCTCTCTTCGGTAGCGTGGAAACACGGAGATCCCTGGAAGCAGCAGGAAAGCGGCAGCTCCGGCCGTGGCACTTGGGGACTTGGAAAAGCCGGCGGGTTGGGAAGCGCCCGGCTGTCCTGAGCGGCTCAGCAAGGAGGTAGCAGGAGGAGCCCGCGGTGAGGGAGAACTCGGCATCCTGCACCGGAACACGCAGGTGTCGTTTGGTCTTAGCATTTTTGTGTGTGAGTTTCTAGTCTGAGCTGGAATCGCTACGAGATTTTTTTTTTCTTTTGCCAGAAAATAGCCCTTAGATTCCCCGTGGTGCCTGCGGGTGACCTGGGCTGTGCTGGGCCCTGCTGAGACGTTGCCTCCTTCACGCCAAGAACAGCAAAAAAAGCCCTTAGATGGGTGCGTGGTCTCTGGGAGTTTTCACCTGAGCTATTTTGACAGATTTTTGCCTCTCTGCTGCAGCGTGAGAGTGGATCCATGGCCTCAATTCCCGCAGACGGAGGGCAGAGCAGTTTGGCTGCTTTAACGCGGCCGGCACAGCTCAGTGGCGAGCCTGAACTCGCGCGTTAGCGTCGGGGCTCAGAGCTGCTGTTTTGGCGAAGGGAAATGGGGCACTGGGGCGAATGTGCAGCCATCGTAAGTCAAGAGAGATGAAGGCCGGGCTTTTCTAGTGAGCAATCGCGGGTTCCTGGGGAAAAGGCGGGTATTTTTCTGCACACAAGCTGTGTTTTGGTCAGCACAAAGCAGCGGATGGAAGGGCATCAGCACAAGTGTTTTGTCAAGCTGTAGTTAATTCTGTTTCCACGGTGGTACCTGTAAACTGCTGTCAGCTTTTATGGTTTTTATATGCGGGCTGCTGTTTGTAGATGTTTTCCTTTCCCTTGCCATAGCAAGCACGATGGAAGAACAGTGAATAATTTCCAAGAGCCAATTCCTGCGTCTTTACCAGCTCTTGTCCCAAGGCACAAATGAAAGAGAACAACAGCTGAGGTTTTTTCCTTTTCCTGATCTCCTTCAGGGATATATAACTTAGAGGTTACTTATCTACCTGTGGGTTATTTCAAGTAGACGTGGATGGATGCTGCATTTGATTGATTTGCTGTGACGTGTTGACTGAAAACAGACTATTTTTATGTTGCCTTTTTTCAACTCAATGCTTCTTTTTCCTACGGAATAGCTGGGATTTTTCTTTGGTTGGTTGTTCATCTGTAGCAGGGTGTTTACAGCGTGTTTGCGGGCAGGCCATCCCTCACAGGGAGATGGGAATAAGCCATGGGAATAAATCCAGGCGCGTAGCAGCAGTGGGAGCCGCCGCCTGGGTCTGCACCAGGTACCCTGTGCTCAGCCCAGGAATCTCTGAGGAAAGAAGCGTCGTGGTTTGTACTTTTGATGGAAAAGGCATTTCCTGGTGGGAAGAGTTGTATGCAATAAGCTTCCTCCGCTCATTTCTCTGGATTAATGGGAAGCCCCTTTCCCGCCACATCCCGCAGGGAAGCCCGTGCACATCCGCCGCGTGTCGTTTTTCCCTTAGCCATGGGCCTTGGAGCTCCGTGGTGGCAAAACAGCTCATCCGCCGTCATACACAACCCTGGATCTGGGTGCTGGTTTGGGAACGGCGTTGGGAACACCGCGGTGCTCGCGGGCCCACGCTCGCGTGACGTGGCCGGACGGAGGACGGGCTTCCCTGCGGCGCCGTCACAGCCGCCAAGGGCGTCTCCAAAGCGGAGCCCGTCCGGCGCCGGTTGAGGTCTCTGCCGAGGAGCTGGAATCACAAGCGGGATGACAGGGAAACCAAGGGCGTTATCCTGCTCAGATAGGAAACAAGAGGAGTCAGAGCTGCCTGGGGGGTTCCAGAGAGCTTTGGTGGAGTGTGGGGGCTCCTTTAGCGCTGGGAACACGTCTTGGTCCTCCCTCCCTTGTCCCGGTACAGAAGCCATGTGCTGCAGACGGGCGAGCGGGACGCGCCGAAGCCGCCCGGCCGCGAGCCCCGCAGGGAGCAAGCACTGTCCGCGTGCAGCGCGCTCCGAAGACTGACCCCTTTTGGGATAACCACAGTAACAAACTGTGAACGGTATTTTTTAAGTGTAGATATGTACGTGTTCTTTTGAAGTAAGGTACTACGACATATGTAGCATAAACTGGTCCTGCTGTTAAATGGGTCGATTATTAACTGAGCAGCTGTGCGAGGGCAGCTAACGGTGAGCGCGCCGCGTCCCGCGCGCCCGGCGCCGCGGTGCAGAACACGGCCGGGCAGCACCACGGCCATGGCCACGACGGGGGCTCTTCAGTGCATGTCGATGCTGGGGGTCGGGGCACGCACGGTGCATCGTTCATAGCGGTTTTAATCTGGTTTTGCTTCCCCTGCATTTTTTGAAATTTCCCCCAGTTTATAATGCTGAATTTCTGCAGCAGTTGCAGCCCTGGTGGAGGGGGGGGAAAAAATCTGAAGAAAAAAAAATTTCCGTGCAAACTCCCAAAATGCAGGTATCCAAAGCACACGTTTTGGCCCGCTGGTCTCCAAGCACGCACGTATCCCCGTGCCCCGCGATGATGGGGCCGAGTCCGTCCCCGCCGCAAGGGGAGGCAGGAGGAGCCCGCGGGCAGCGCGAGGACCGCGGGACAACAGGATGGGGGAAAATGGGCCCTTCCCGGTCCCTCGAGCGTCTCCGGGCTGTGAAACGGGGCCGTGACGGGGCAGACGCGCGTGGCCGGCGCAGCGACGTGGTGCGGTCAGC